TTTCAGTCTTATTTACGACATGTAAATAATTTTTTTTATCAAAACCAAATAACATGAATATTTCTGTGATGGGTTGGAACCTTAGCAAAACATTTGAGAAAGGAATTTTATAGGACCACTTAATAAAATTGTGGAGTGCAATTTTAACATCAGTTACCTTGGTTATACAATGTCTTTACGTTTATTCATACTTACAATTGTCTTCTGGCATTTGGGTACTTTCTCCTTCTTTACAAGCACTACCACTTTGTTCATTTTCTGCACTCGGTTCTGTCTCATCAGCACCCTATGGGAAAAGTAGGCTCAAATTTAGAAAAGGACAGTCTTTCAATGTCATAGCTACATTCCTTACAAAATTTAAAACTTAAGCAGTCTCTAATTCCACCTCCGTCACATTCCTCAACACCCAGGTGATATTTACACGAACTCAAGGAAAGTTACTGAACTAAAAATTAAGTGCTACAACAGTTAGCATTTTTTTGAATGATCAAAATTGTTTGTAGTTAATTTGCAGAATGTGTTTAAAAACTGTTGCAGAAAAAGTCAAAAAGATTATTCCAAACTAGAAAGATCCACTTTAGACTCACAGAAACAGATACTTTCGCTGATAAAATTTCTAAAATTAATGTGTAAAAGCTTTCTGTCCCTGTAGGTGGGTCCTCCTGTAGGAGGAGGACAAACAAGTTCAACAGCTTCGACTGCAGAAACACAGCGATCACATAGCATCAATTGTGCTCCCATTACCAATGCAGATAAAATTTATTCAAGAGTCTGTGTATTAGCCTGAGGACGGCTGCAAATGAATTACACTGAAACACCATTTCTAAAACAATACTTTCTTCAATAAGTTAAATTCTGCAGTGTCCATGAGCCAAGACTGGCTGGTCAAGTTAAACACAAACTGAAGACAAATCAGCTCAAGTCACCACATTGTGAGGCAGGAGGAACACAGCAGGTCAGGCAACAGAGGAGCAGGAAAGTCGACAGAAACCAGCTCCACACTATCAACTGATTCCAGCATCTGCAGTTCTTGCTACCTACAAATCAGCTCAAGTCTTGGATTATCAAGCCTACCACAAAGGGGTTAAGTGTTCTAATGTTACAACCACACATGCCACTTGGACATGAAAGAGCTTACAAGCTCCATAAAAAGACAGTGAATCACTGCTTGCTCAATGCTAATCAAAAGGTACCACCACTCAACATAGATAATTTCAATGAGGGAGAGACTATATGTTCAAGGTTTATCAGTGATAAAAGTTGGATTCACAGTGAGTTATGCAAATGGGAACAGAAAGTTAAGGGGCAGACAGATTAAATAAACTTGGATAAAAACTGGTCAGATACAGTTCAACTTGAAGCAATGTTGAATCATTACAATAACTGAAAAATATAGTTCCATATAACTATTTTGAGACCAAGTAATGAGAAGGATCAAACCAAGTAGAGAAGGATCAAAAAATTTGATACTCAGCTGGACAAATCAAAATTTGAGATTAGGCACAAAAACGATCAAAAAAGTCTAATGGAAATGAAACGGTGCTTCTGTTGTACGGAGACTTACTCAGAAACAAGAAAGCAGCAATTACGTTAATTATGAAATTCAATAAAAAATGATGTTATCCTTAAAGGGGATACAACACATATTCACCACAATGTTATCAGGACCCAAGGGTTAAATTATGAACGACAGGTTTCAGAAAGCTGATTTGTATTAGTCCCATTTGGGAAAATGAGGATTGACATAAAAACAGTTTGAAGTGTCAATGGCATTCAGTACAGGAACATACTGACAGGAGGACATTCAACCCCTTGAGCCTGTTCTATTATTCAAATGAGATCATGGCTGACCCATAGCCTAACTCTATATACCTGCCTTTGGCCCATATTCCTTAATACTGTTGCTTAATTTTATAGCTGAGATAGGTAAATTTTTGTTAAGTATAGGTACTAAGGGGTAGAATTAAAATTAACAACTGATCTAGTATTCACTGCCATTTGTTTCAAGCTTCTATCAATCTGTGTGTGGAAGTGCTTCCTAATGGCTCTAATTTTCAGAATATGCCTCCTAGTTCTAGAATTTCCAGCCAGTAGAAATAGGTTTTCTTTAATCATCTACCCTGTCTTTTCCTGTTAATACCTTGAAGACTTTGAATGGGCCACCCTTTAACTTTCTAAATTGTTACAGAAAACAGGCTTCATTTGTATAATCCTTCCTCAAACTTAACTCAGTAAGTCCAGATGTCATTTTTATAAACCTGCGTAGTCCTCCTTCCAAAGCCAATTTATGTTCCATCCTCAGGAGTGGTGTCCACATTTGCTCATAGTACTCCAAAGTGGGATCTAACCAGAGTTTCATATAACTCCAGCAATAACTTCTGCATCCTTGTACTCCAGTCCTCTATATATAAAGGCCAGTATTCAATTAGCTTTCTTAATTATTTTCTGTACCTGTTAATGGCATTTTCTAGATCTAGCACCTGAACTCCCAAGTCTCTTAGGACATCTGTTGTATTTAACTTCATACCATTTATCAAGTACGCCGAGGACAAGAAACTTGGATTTTAAAAAAATAGTGGAATGAGTGAAGCATTCTCTCCTGAGCTGCTCCTGAGATTTCAAGCTTACTTATATTGCTGAAATATAATAACGATAAAAATACTAAGTTTATTTGATTCTTCTTGGCTCTTTTATAGTAAAAAAAAATTAATCGCCCAAATCACATGCTTTTTTCAAATGGATGTGTTTATAAAGCTTTTGGACAGGCCTACATGTGGACAGCTCTGGCATATGATTCTTTTTCCCCAAAATCAGAGGCCTGAAAGCTGTCTGGATGACTTGAAGAGTCGTCGTTTTTGTTTCGAATGTTTAGGTAATTGGTTGATTTCATTTAATATTTATATGTTCGCATGCTTAGTAGTAATTCTTTGGGTAAAGAAAGGTAGCTTATTTTATGTACAAGGTGCTATTGAAAGTTGGCTTTGTTTTTAAAGATTTGATGTCAGAGGGCATACAAGAGACACAGTTAGAAGGCTAGCAAATTTAGAAGTGATTACACAGCAGGATCAGCCAGATAGATGGGTGACTGTCAGGAAAGGTAAGATGATAGTTTATAAGTCTTCTGTGGCAATTCCTTTCTCAAATAGATATTCATTTTTGAGTACTGTTGAAAGGGTTAGCTCTCAGAGGAAAATAGAGGAGGGCAGTCAGATCTTGGGCACTAAAAAATAATCTTGTATTAGGCAGGGTTTGACAAAGTTTAAAGGAATAGTCGTTAAGGGGACTCCGTCAGGGGCAGAGACAGGAGATTCTGTGGCAGTGAATATGAATCCAGGATGGTATGGTGCTTTCCTGGAGCCAGGGCTAGGACATCAGAATGTTTCAAACATATTGTTGAAAGAGACAGCGAGGTTATTGAACACATTGGTAGAAATAAAAAAGTTAGGGAAAAGATTAAGGCTTTACAAAGTGAATGTAAGAGGTTAGATAGAAGAGAGTGAAAAAATGCTTAAAAGTGGCAACGTCCGGTTTACTCTGTGCCAATCTTCACTGAGGGAAGGAATAAAAAAGGATAAAGGAGATAAATCAATAGCTGAAGAGATAACGTTCAGAGATTCAGATTCTTGGATCATGAGGATCTCTTCCGGGGCAAAAACTTGTTCAAAAAAGGATGGGTTTCACCCAAACTGTACAGGGACCAATACCCTTGGGGGGAGATTTACCATTTCTATTAAGGGAGACTGTAAACTATGGGGGGTGGGGGACAGAAATCCGAAGTAGGAGAGTAAACAGAAAGATAGTTGAGAATGGTTCTGAATCAGAGAAGAACAAGTTAATTAGAAAAGACAAACAAGAGCAAGTCAAAGAATGAGGTTAGTCTGAATAATTAAACTACATTTATTTCAATGCAATGGGTCTTACAGTTAAGGCTGATGAACTCAGGGCATGCTTGGGAACATGGGATTGCGATGTAATAGCTATTACAGAAACGTGGCTGAAGGACGGACAGCACTGGCAACTCAATTTTCTGGGTTTCAGATGGTATAGGAAGGATAGAAAGGGGGGCAAAAGTGGAGGAGGAGTGGTGTTTTTGATTAAGGAAAACTTACTGTCGTAACTAGAGCAGATATTTCTAGAAAAAAAAAATCATGAAAT